GCAATTAACCAATGGAACAACCTGCCTCCAGAAGTGGTGAATGCTCCAACACTGGAAGTTTTTAAGAAGAGACTGGACAGCCATTTGTCTGAAATGATGTAGGATTCCTGCCTGAGCAGGGGGTTGGACTCGATGACCTCCAAGGTCCCTTCCAACTTTATTGTTGTTGTTGTTGTTGTTGTTGTTGTTGTTGTTGTTATTATTATTATTATTATTATTATTATTATTATTATTATTATTAGCAGTCTGTTTTCAGAGTGCATTTTAAGGTCTTTTAAAAAGCCAACAAAGTGACCATGAACTCAGCAGGAAGCACATAGCAAAGAATGGGGGCATCTTACTTCAGTGTCACTTCAAGACAAATCCATGGCAAGTGTAGGTGAACTTGTTTAGTCAGAAAATCAAATGGAGAGAGGTTCTTTCCTAAACCTAAGCTATATAGGGTTTAAAAGTAATAACCCACATTTTATATTTCATCCAGAAAAAAAAGCTGGCAAAGGCAATGCTTCTAAGTACAATGAAGCATCTCTGGGTTCTTCCAGAGACAAATTTAACTGTTGAGTTTTGTTCCTACCATACTTCCCAAACTCGACTCACAGGTCGCCCTATACACAACATGCTATAGTGGTCAAGGTGGGACACTACCAGCATAAGAACTATGCTTTTGGTCTGTGTGCTGATAGTGATGTTCTATGATACCTCAAAAGACCACTTGTCAAGATTAGTTTTTTTCCAAACACCATACTGGTGACCTGATGCATTTTTCTGAGCCCTTTTCTTCTATATGTTTGATAAATGTTTGATATATAATTCATAATTAGACAAACTAACTTCAAATAAAACAGGTCTGTCAAATGATTGTAGCGAGGTACACTTTTTATTAAGATACACTTAACAGTGGTTCTTTTGTTTGTGTCAAGTTAAAACATTACAGTCTGCCTTTGTTTTTACAGCTGGCAGACTTTCAGTTGTATTTGACTGCTAATCTAGCCCTTCAAACCTGGTATGCTGAACCTCTGCAAAACTTTATTTGAATATTGGACAATCTTGGTACTATCTGCAATTTCTTCTCCCTTCAGGCTCATTCTCCTCCAGGCTATTGGGGATATCACTGTAAATTCATTAGCTATTCTACAGCAGTGTTGGGATCTTGACTATTTTAATGTATTTCAAATGGGTTGTCGCTCTGCCTCATTAAGCTCACGCTCTCTCAAGATATGGCCTACTTTTTTTACAAGAAAGTTGGAGCCAAGATAGGAAGTAGAGGTCTCATGCAGCATGGTATAAATTTCTAATGATCCAATTCTGGAGAAAAGACCTCATACCCTAAAATCCACTCACTTGGAAATCTTGTACAAATCTTTCATCTCTGCTAGGTGCTTCCAAAGGGAAAATCACCACAAGGAAAATTGATTTTGGGGTCAATGACCTCTGTGACAGCTACACGGTTTGACTTATCCATCTGTGCAGGAATTAAAAGTGTATTCCATTCCTCAGATTCTGCAGTCCAATCTGCCAGGCCCTGTTGTTTTTTGCAACTATTATCCTTCACTCCCCCAACACCCCAGAACCTAGCAATACTGTAAGTATTAAAAATATAATTTCATGAATGAAGAAAATATGCTAGAAAAGACAGTGTATAGAATCTGAAGTTATCAGTTCAATTAATGTCTCATGAAGGATGTTAGCTTCTTCTTCAGGTAAATGTTGCCTATGTGTCAATAAAAGAATTTTAGAAGATGCTGATTTAGATAGATAGATAGATAGATAGATAGATAGATAGATAGATAGATAGATAGATAGATAGATAGATAGATAGATAGATGGATAGAGGGATAGAGGGATAGAGGGATAGGGATAGGGAAAGGGATAGGGATAGATAGATAGATAGATAGATAGATAGATAGATAGATAGATAGATAGATAGATAGATAGATAGATAGATAGATAGATAGATAGATAGATAGATAGATAGATAGATAGATAGATAGATAGATAGATATGTGTGTGTGTGTATGTATGTATGGATGGATGGATGTATGGATGGATGGATAGATAGATAGACAGACAGACAGACAGACAGACAGACAGACAGAGTATTAGAAGTGTGTACTTTGGTTGTAAAAGTGTCAAAATAAATAAGTCATATTTACATGGATATAGCACCAGGAAAAAAAGTGTAGATCTCCTTAAATAACCAAGGAAAAAATTAAATTTCCCAAATATTAAAAAAAATCATTTTTTTTTCTAAAAATAAAAAAGTAGAAGAGAAAAACGTAATCAGATGAGGTGTGTACTTTTTGGGAGACCTACACATACTATGTCTTAGAGGTGTAATTTATTTTAATCTGAATTACAGTATTTAAATACAGTTAATATACTTCCTAATTCAATGTTTTTGGTTTATTATATTCCAACTTAGCTTTGTCATCTTTAAAAATAAAATCAATTTTCAAGCATCTTTTAGAGGCCAGACCAAAAGATTTTGGGTGGCCAAATCAGATAAGGGGAAGTTTCATTTCACTCTGATCCAACTCAGATGGCTCCTCCACTTAGTTGTTACCACATTACAATGAATAGGAAGCAGCCTCTAAATCACAATTGCTACTCAGTCTGCTAGGTACAAGATAAGCACCAGATAGTCACTGGGAGCAGGCATGCAAGTGACAAAATGTGCATGACTTCATCAAGTAAATGTTTTAACTTGCATACTAGTATCAAATTTTGGGACAGAGCATGCAATGAGTATGTCGTGATTATAGTGGAACTTATTATAGATACCATGGACTACCAGCTAGAAAAATGTATCTGGGGGTTCTCAAAGATACCTGCTGAAGGAAAGGAAGTCCCAGAAGGCACTGTATTCAAAATCCCAAGCTAAAGGGATTGAATACTAAGAAAGCAGGTGAGTAACCTTCTGATATATTTCCAATTTCTTCCCATAATTATTAAAACACAATTTTCAAAACCTTACATGGGACTTTTACACTGAGACAATTAAAAATAAGAACACAAAGACAAACTGCCTTCCAAGACTACAAAAATATGGGATAGAACAAGATATCATCTTTTGGCTTGATAACCAATAATGTATGAGTAGTGATTGGGCAAGACTCTTGAAATCAACCATTATGAAAGGAAGTGCCTTTTCGTAAACAGATGTCCTTAGATCTTTATAAAGCGTGGGTAATGTACTGTCTGAAAAGTGAACATGCTTTGGAATTAACTAAACTGCCTTTGAAAAACTTGCTTCAAAGGATTCTTGTACAATGACTAAGTCTAAATCCTAGTGTGCAATATTAGCTGATTAAGACAAATCTTTAAACAGGATAATTTTCATCAGATGGGCACCAAGACTGGTTAATGCAGTAATGCATAACTAAATGCATATACTTCCAATGAGTCATTTAAATGTCATGTGGTGTGCACACATATATAAGTGAGAAAACCTTAGTACAAATGTAATGACAGGCAGAATTGCAGAATAAGCAAAGCATTTTTATTATTTTTACATCATGGCACCGTAATATGTGTTTTGGAATCACAGTTCTGTCATTATTTATCAAGAGATACATTTGCTTTAGTGTTGCCTGATGAGTTCTATGCAACACTGGAATTTGTTATGGCTCCACAATCTTTAGAAACCTAAGGATGAACTAGACCAAACACAGATGCTTCATAGTCAAGAATTTCCTATTATTTTAAAATCAATTAAACCCCCCTAAAGCTGCAGTAAAACCTGATGAAATAATGTTAAGCAAGACGGTTTTCACCTACTATCTCTTCGCAGTAAATATTCAGGCATTCCAATTTGTGGAGTTAAGTACATCATATAATGCATGTGTGTCTATATCTAAATGCTGGAGAGAGACCAAGAAAAAAATATCATCTCTGAATTTGGGCCTTGCTTTCTCTCTTTAATATGCAAAAATATCTATTTTCCTTGGTAGGATTCCTTGGTTTCTCTATGTAAATCAAGAACTTCCTTCCTTCCTTCCTTCCTTCCTTCCTTCCTTCCTTCCTTCCTTCCTTCCTTCCTCTATTGCTAAATTTAATTTAATTATTTTATATACTTATCTCTCTTTTCTCGCAGTTCAGAGTTACAAACAATGCCTTACTAGGACACTGACCATGGTTTTCATTTTATATTTAGGAGTGAGTTGATACTCAAAGTCTGTTATTTTCTTGTTGTCACAATTATTACAGGGGATGTTTGCATTTGGTAATGCTACATTATTCAATCTTAAACAAGAAAGCTGCCAAAATTGAGTATTTATATTATTTAATATAGGCAAAATACAGACAAAATTATCAACTAACGTTAAGATATAAATTATGTTCTAAACACAAGTTTTATCCACTCAACCACCTAGGACAGGGGTATCAATCTGGCGGCCCACGGGCTGGATGCCTTACGTGCAGGCCACGCCCACCCCAGCTCTGCGAAGGCAAAAAACGTTACGATATGTCACAATACATCATGTGATGTGATCGAGTTTGACACCCATGACTTAGGAGAAAAGGTTTTGTCAACTATCTTTCACTCTAAAACCTGCTTAGGGAAGACTTGATTTGGCAAGATGGTCTGTAGAACTGTCACTAAACAACAGATATTCCTGCTTTTTTTCCCTCTTATACCAATTCCGCTTCCTGATATCTGGGATCAGCAGAACCTCTCAAGCAAATAATCATATGGATGTTTTCAGTGGTTGTCAACTTCAGCAATTTTGAAATGTATGGATTTCAACTTCCAGAATTCCCAAGTCACAATGCTGGGAAATTCTAGGATTTGAACTCCAGACATTTCAAAGCTTCTGAGGTTGAGAAATATTGTTAATTTTACTGGCAGAGTGATTTACTCCCAGGCAAACATACATAAATGGCAATCTTGCAGAGTTCATAACGGACTATGTTTTTAGGCTGCAGAGTCAAAAGTGGCACAATACATTACAAGCTAAAACCCAGTTAGTGAGTAATGACAGCTGAATGATGTTGATAGAACAACTCTATTTCCCTTGGAAACAAAATGCATTTTTTTATACAAACAGTTGCATTTTACTAAAATGCTTGTAATAGTTCCGTTCATCTTATCAAGAAAGAAGCAGTGACATACAAATTCCACATAATATTGTGCCCACAGAGTTAACTGGCCTGGGATGAACAACCTGGTCCCAAAGTTCCTTGCTTACAGGTGGTTCTTGAGTTATAATACTCATCCAGTGATCATTCAGACTTGCGTGGCACTGAACAAGAGAAACGTACGACTAGTCCTTGAAAATCTGTCCTTTGCAGAATTCCTGTGGTCATGTAATTGCAACCTAGGCACTTGTGCCTGACTCCTGATTATGACATTGCAGCAAGTCATGGTTATGTGATAGCCAGTTCTGATACTATTCCACAAGCAAAGTCAGTGGGACAGCCAGCAGGAAATTGTAGTCACACAAGGTTCTCGCTTAACAACCCACCACATTTCTTGCATAACCATGGCAACTGGAACTGCTATCACTAAGTGCTGCAATCATGTGACATTGCATTTTACAGACATGTTCTTTAGCAACAGCAATTCCAAAAAGAGCCAACCAGGGGAGCATATTTTGCATAGAAATGAAACCTACCTTTGTTGGCACAAGCCATCCATTTAAGATTATCTGCAAAGGCAGCTTCTCTTCCTATCAGGTAGGTGAAAATGCGAACCTGAAAATATAACTCTGGATTATTATAACAGAATTTCATTTACAGGAAACACTTTATATAAACCATTCAAATTGTATTAAGCAGGCAATAGCACCAGATAAAAATACCAAAAAAAATTACAAATACATTCTATTGGAATTTTCTTTTGAGCTGCATAAGCAGTAATTTCACACACCTATAGATTTTGGTAACACACACACAGACAAATTTGGCATTTTCTAGAATTATAAGCAAATGTAAATGAAAAGGTATCATTTTGGAAGGTGAACATGAAACCACATGATTGACAATGTAGCACTTTGCACTGATCCCAAGCTTGCATTTAATTACTGTACTGCCACAAAAGACTACTGCATATGTGGAAACATGAGGCAAGCTACTCGTAAAGTTTCTACCTCTCAAATGTGTATACTGAGCTAATACAGTAATACAGATTTCCCACAATAATGATACATTATTTCAACCAAAGGAGCTATCCAACACTCTCTGTTTGTGAGAGGGTCTATAAAGTCAAACCTTAAGAGTTCCAATTACATGAGAAAAGTCAAAATAGTTGGAAGCATAACGTTCGATTGCAGTCCAAGGAAAATTCAGGTAATAAATATCTCACTTCATTAAAAATGATGTATTTTTGTTGTTGCTACTTATTCCTGACAATCATTTATTTGGGAAAATACTCAAGAGTATTCATCCAGAGCCTTCTAACTCTAACTTCCCCAGGAAACCAGGAAAACCATCACCAGAGACAATCTTCTTACCTGAGTTGATTGTTTTGTTTTACTTTTTTCCTTGCAGTTTTAATGAAAATTTTAAAAAAAAATCAAGTATCCTAAACCCATCTTGAAAAAATCTGGTGAGCCAAATCAACTTGATTTTACAAAATGTGTATGAATCAACGATGGAGTTTTTTTCCCCAATAAAGAAGGCAAATATACTCTAGTCACTTCAGTCTAAGAACTGCAGTTATGCATAAATTCAGCAGTGACAGCTAAATTGGGCAACATATTTCCAACAGCAACAACCAGTTTTGTTCTGGACTTGCCTAACTCACTGGACTTTCATCTTGAAGGAGATGATTGGTTTGAGCACATGCAGCAAAAGGGTGGAGATAAGCATTCTAAAACTGTTGCTGGAGATGGCGACTTTTTCTCTCAACCTGAGTCTATTAGACCATCATCTCTTTCTCAGCAAGTTTAACAACCAATTTATTAGAATTGGATGAATTGGCTAGAAGATTTGGGAGAAGATTTTATAGATTGCAAATATCACTCTAAATCCTGTAAAGGTTGTAAAGTTTTGAATTTAAAATAACAGAAGCATGTATACAACTGCTAAATCTCTTATAATATCCTTTCCCCAATATACATGTTCAGAAATTCCTAAGATAATGAACAATATTACTGGAATTTACCATGTTTTGCAACTATTCTTCTTATGAAATCTGTATCTTGCAGTAAGATGGGCAGCAAACTAATTTAATAAATAAATATCTCATTTCCATGACCTTTAACTGGGTGAAATAGTGGGGCAACAATTTTGATACAAGGTACTTTAAATGAGGGGCCCCAACCCCTGGTCCTTGGACCAGTACCGGGCCATGACATGCCAGCAACCGGGCCGCACAAACAAGCAAAGCCCCATCTGCAAGATGCAGGCAGATCACAAAACCACACACCCTATGGTCCACGGAAAAACCTCTCTCCACGGAACCGGTCTCTGGTGCCCGAAAGGTTGCAGACTGCTGCTTTAAATGGCCTAACGTACAGAATGTGTCCAAAATCTAGGACCCATAAATCTCAAAGGAATGAAATTTTGGAAAGTTATGGCTATTTCAGCTGTGGGTCTACTGCTGTGGTCACATAATCCTCATTTTCAATGTTCCGAGACAGTTTCCTAGCCACTCTCACAATCCCTTGCTCCCTCCCCCACCCAGCAGCAGCCAATTATCTGTCTACTGCAAAGGGACCAGGAGGTTGTTGAGAGTGTGGTTGCACAGCAATTCCCTCGGCACCTGGATGAAACAGTTTATCTGGACCCATACCAGTCGGGCTTCAGGCCGGGACACAGCACGGAAACGGCATTGGTCGCGTTGGTTAATGATCTCTGGAGGGCCCGGGACAGAGGTTATTCCTCTGTCCTTGTTCTTTTGGACCTCTCAGCGGCTTTTGA